TAAAAATGGCACAAAAAAAGAAAGCACCAAAACTCATTGCCGTTGAGCGGATTCAACTCGTAGCAACCCCTCTCCTTGGGTTACCAAGGCGGTATTTCTACAGAAGTAGACTGCCCAATCTTCCTTCTAAGGCATGGCTGGTGGGTTTGAACCACCAGCTTCTGGTTAGCAGTCAAGTGCCTTAGGCACTATGCCACCAGATCTGAATGGCAGAGACAGAGGGAGAAAGAGAGAGGAAAGACTGAACAAAAAGTGAATCAAAGATAGGAAGATAATCCAGTAAGAAATGCAAATTAATATCTGAATAAATTAGCACTATATATGCTCCCGGAGCACTATAGGTTGGGCAATCTACTTTCCGTAGTGATACCGCCTTGGAAACCCAAGAAGAGGTCACTATGCGTTGGGTCCGACTCGATGGCACATAAACACCACCACCACCTATCAGAATGGTTGAAAAGAAGATACTTGGGGAAAAAAAAAAAAAAAAGTGCTCTCAAGAGGTGGAGGTAGGCAAAAGAAGGACTCCATAGAATGCTGGTGGGTGTATAACTTAATCCCAGCTGGAGAGCAATCGGGCAAAGACCTTTATGTGCTCAATTTTCTTCTGGCTAAACAAAGTCTCACACATGTGCCTAAGGAGGTCACACTACCTGTAAATAGCAAAACATCAAAAAGAACCTAATTGTTTGCCATTAGGCAATGGATAAATTGTTCTTTTTATTATTATTAAACAATTTAAATGAATGAATCAGATCTATATCTCCATAGTCAAATCTCAAAAACATAATAGTGAGTTGCAAAAGAGTATGTATAGTGTAATAACACTTACATTAGTTGTGAAAACTCACAAAGTCACACCATATCTTTAAATGTATGTACCTATGTAGGTAGTAAAACTATTACATTATATAATGGCATGATATCAACAAAATTTTACCTGTGAGAAGGTAAGAAGAAAAAGACATAAGGGTTTGATTTGGTCTGTGATGTTTTATATTTTAAAACCTGAATTAATGGTAATTAATATATATTGTGAACATGTCTATGAGAAAAGTGTAGAATACAGTTTCCTCCGAAGTAACTGACAGTGGATGGTGGGTAATGATTTCACCATACAGGTAAAAATGAGTACTGGAGGACACCAGAAGAAAGTATTTAGTGAGGCAGACTAGCAGACAGAATGCTCAGCCAGAAAGTAATTTATACATTGAAATAACATGCAGACAGAGAATATCTCCAAGGGCCAAATGTACTCCATTGATGGAATTAATGTAAATCCCAATTCAAGAGAATTAAATAAGTAAAGCACACTACCAATCACAGTCCTCCATACCCACAACATATACCCCCCTAGAAACTCTTCTGGATAACATTTAGTCCAGTATTCAAATCCATACTTTTTTCCCCCCTGAGCAAAAGTATTTATTTCATTGTTAATTTGCAGCATCTTCCCAATTATATTTATTGGCCCACCAGATAAAATATTTGTTGCCTTTGTGTACATAAACTACATTCTGTAGGAATACAATGGGAGGAAAAGCCCCCCTGTCAGGAGACTGCACAAAGTGCAAGAGCCAGAGCACGGAGGCTCAGCTCTGCTACCTGGGCCTGCTGCAAAAAGGGCAAGGAGGCCACATGTTCTGACCTCCTCTAATCCCACAAGAGGAAGGCAGAATCACCATCAATAACCCAAGGCCTATTACTGCAAGGCCAGACATGCTGCCTCCCTCCAGCCCTTTCACCAACCGTTCCTCTCAAAGCACCCACCACCTCTCTCCTGGGTTCGATGATTCACTGCAGTGGCCACACAGAGCTCACAGATTATGGGGTTTATTAGGGAAGCACCACAGGCTACAATTTGAGTTCAGGAAAAAAAAAAAAACGCTTAGACTCTCTCCCAGCCCACCGTCCCTCAGCCAACAGTCTCTCACAGTCTCTTTCCCAGCAGTGCTGGTCCCTCGGTGTCTCACTCAGCAATGCATGTCTCTTACGTCTCTATCCCAGGAGCGCGTGTCTCTTTCAGCAGCATGTCTTCCTCAACCAGCAGTCAGAGAGAGTTCTGCCTCTAGGAGGCCTCCTTTTGAGCTTTGCAGAGTGGCCAAACCAACCAATCATAACAACAGAATTCTAAGCACCTGAGAGTGAGCCTCCCATAACATTGCATTGTGCTATGCCCAACAGAAATAACCCAGGTGGATAACATTTACAATCAGGAGCTCCTCAGTTGCTCATTCCACCACTGAGTTTACGATGACTTATGGGTAGAAAAGCCATACTAAGTAATTTACTACACTGCACCTGCTTAATCCATTTCTAGCCATTTAAGGTTCTTCTTTCTCTCACGGCAGCCCATTAGGATTTTCCTACGCCATCTAATGCTTAGGGGACTAAGTAAAACACTCTTTCTGCTATAGGGGGAAAAAAAAAACACAGTGCAAAATAGATTGCACTGAACAAGGATTCAAATTGAGTTCCTGGCCTGTTTCTACTCCTAATTCCATGTGTGTCACCAGGCTTCAGTTTTCACACACATGAGATGGTTTGGGCTAGGTGATTTCAAAAATCACCTTCTGAGTTTATAACGTCCTGTTACTGTTATTGTTGTTAGGTGCTGTTGAGTCGGACCCAGCTGATAGCAACCCCTCCTTGGGTTTCCGAGGAGGTATCACTGCAGAAGTAGATTGCCCAACCTTCCTTCTGAGGAGTGGCTGGTGGTTTTGAACCGCTAGCCTTCTGGTTAGCAGCCAGGTGCCTTAGGCACTAAGCTACCATTTAATAATGTTCAGGACATGTAACAACCATTTTATTTAACTCTTACAGAAGGATGAATAGTGAATATTTATTCAATTCTATTAGGCACTTTATATACATTATCCCCTGTAATTCATAAAATACATGATGCACAGTGAAACCTGTGACAGTCAGAACCCTGTGTAAGGCATGAACATGTCAGAGAAGGAAAACTATTTTCCACTAATAGAGAGGAATAGAAAAGTGTAAGAAGCATCCTGTCAAAGGTAGAAAACTTCAAGACCTGGAAAAATAAGGCAATTCCATCAAGTGCCAGCCCCTCACAGGTTTGAATCTATTCTCCTCATTTTACAGGTAATGAATGTGAGATCCCGAGAACTTAAAACCTTCCCAATCCACCATAACGCAACACACTGCCATCAAGTTGGATGTAACTCATAGTGACCCCTCGTTGGGTTTCCGACTTCCGTAGTCATACTGCCTCGGAAACCCAAGGAGGGGTCGCTATGAGTCGGGTCCAACTCGACGGCACGTAACAACAACAACAATCACTACCGAAGTAGATTGCCCAACATTCCTTCTGAGGAGTGGCTGGTGAATTAGATCCTCCAGCCTTCTGGTTAGCAGTCAAATGTCTTAGGAACTAAGCCCCAGAGATACTCCAAACCACCATACTGATAACTTAAAATGAACAAGAATTCAATTCATTTTGTTAACCTCAAAACCCATACCCTTTCACTGTACTATAATGCTACCTTAGAACTTTGGGCTGTATTCATCATTGACCTTACCATATGCCATGTTTGGTTTTCCATAAAACTGTTAAGATGGAGTGTTGAATAGCTGTAACTTTTAAATCAGTAATTTCACTTCTAGGAATGATTTAGACTATGAATTAAAAATAAAACAAAGAAAAAAATACAGCTCCAGACCAAGAATAAAACACAAATTCAAAAAAAAATTTAAGGAACAAAGTAACAGCTAAAATCCTCTATGGCAGACACTGTGTTAAGTACCTTTCATATATTATGTCACACTAAGGAGCTCTGGTAGTGCATTGGTTAAGGCATTTGGCTGCTAAACAAAAGGTCAGTGCTTCAAACCCACCAGCAGGTCTATGTTAAGAAAGATGATGCAGTCTGCTCCATTAAAGATTTACAACCTCTGAAACCCAATAGGGGGTGTCACTATGAGTCAGAATTGACTTGATGACAGTGAGTTTGGTTTTGGAATTATCACACTAGCACACAATACATGCATCATCAACTCCATTTTACAGGTGAGGAAACATCTGTATCCAGGGTAAGTAACCAATTTAGGCTTATATAGCTAGTTAGAGGTAGAGCCAGGATTTGAACCCTGGCAGGCTGATTCCCAATCAGACATGGTTAATCACTAAATTACTATTTCACTAAGGTTTTGGTGACACACAGTAAGTCTATTTTACATCATGATCCAATATGAACATTTACATATATAAAAGTGAAACATCTACAAAATTCTATTTTTGTTTCTCTATGTAGCACATAGATAACTTTTATCTTTTCATTTTTGTTTAAGATGCTGGGTTTGAACCAAAATTCTCATGACCCATGTGAAAAAAAAAACCACACTGCTTAACTGCTTCAAAAATACTGTTTATTTAATAACTGCAATAGCAAAAAAACATATATATAAACCTAAGTGGAACTTAAGGGTCAGCAATACAACTAGGTAATGACTATGAATAATATATAGAAAGATAAAAAGTTTTTTTCAGAGAAAATACAGTATGTACATTGATTAAAACCATGCTATACACAAAATGCTATACACATAAAGTATATAAAAATAAAATAGCTGTATTAAGGTAAGAAGGCTATAGGCAATTACATTTAAATTTTGAATTTATAAAGATTTATTTTCCCCCTACAAATTGGGGTAGTGAAGAAGTCTAATGACACCTACTGTGTTTTTTTCTTGGCACCAAAGCAATTTTCTGATGTGTAATTTCTGACGTATCTGTTTCAGATCATGAAAAGTTTTCCAAAGCTAGTACCCTTTTTACACCAAAAATTATAGACAATAACACAAATAAAAAAAAACACAAAAAAAATCCTCCTCTGATGTTTTATAACTGTAGATTTGGAACCAAATAATTTAGCAGAAAATTTTGCAAGCATATCCCAAGGTTACACATATTTAAGTGTCACAGAAATAGGCTCCCCTCCTCCATCTCTCCACCCCAGAGTCCCTCTCAATCTACCTCAAGAGGAGGGGGCTGGGACACTAGGCGGAGGTCTGGCCCTCGCCGCCTCATCTGCCAAAGCCTCACAGTACTGCGCTGGCCAGTCCTTGGGGTCTTGGTTATGGACTTTGGCTACAAACTTAAGAACTTTCATCTTGGTAGTTTCCAGGTTGGTTCGCGGGCCCCACTGGAATTCATAGTCTACAGGATCAGTGTGGGGTATCCGCCGGTATTCCAGGTAACGCTGGCGCACAAAGTCTTCGGTAATGAGCTTCTTTGGGTCCCCAAAAATAAAATGCTTCTTTGTGGGGTAGACTCCTAAGCGTCGCAGAAAGTCCCAGACTTCCGTCTCTTTGATAGTATTTCCCTTCATAAAGATGAGTCCTAAAACAATCATCAGGAGGCCAGTAGTGGGCGTGCCCTGATCGCCTCTCACCTCGGCATCCTCCTCCACCGGCTCCAGGGTGTTGATAAGAATGTAGGAGTTGCTCTTGGGTTCGAGTTCCACCAGCTTGTACCCGAAGACGTACTCGAGGCGCTGGGCGGCCAGTTTGAGGAGATCAGGGAAGATGTCCTTGTAGTCTCCAATGACGTGCTTCAGGATGTCAGTCCGCTTGATCGGAATCTTCTTCTGGTCCTTAATCAGCAAAAACTGCACAAGCTCGGCCACTTTCAGCTCCATGGCGGGAGCCGCAGAGGCGGAACGGGCGCTCGGCGACCGAGTGCCTGCGGCCTCTTGCGAGCCGCTCGCACCGCGGGAGGTGCTCGGGACCTCGTCGGCCGCGCCCTGCGGGGTGCGAGTCTCTCTGCCGTGGCCCCAGTCCCGCTCCGTTTCAGCCTGGGTGCTGGGGCGGCCCCGGAACCTCGTTTTCTGCAACATATTACTTGCGGACCAGAATAGCACTCAAGTAACGGGCGCCGGTGCCGCGCGGCGAGGATTGTGGGTCTGCGCGACACGCTTCAGGCTGTCCCTGGGCGGAGCCAGAGGGAGTAGCGCATTGCGTCAGCGGAGACTGCGCGCTGCGTCAGCAGAGTCTGCGCGCTACGTCCCTGTGGCTTTAGGGTAAGCTGTAGAGGTTTCTGCGCATCCTCCGGCTGTTTGCTGGAGGGAGCGTTGGTTTTTATTATAATTAGAGCAAATTTGTTATCCTTAGCAAACAATACCAATAGAGAACAAGGACCAAAAATCCTAAACAAGCGTCCTGCTGAATTCAGGACCAAACAGGTTTAGACAAATTCTATAGGTTCTATAGGAAGTATTAAGCGCTTTAAAGTCAGGAATATTTGTGAATGGAGGGAACTCAAAGAATAAACGTAGGCGAAAATCACCTTTTCAAGGTGAAAAGGAAAGTACAACCGTGAAAAGTAAAGGAAAAACATTTATTTCTACTTGTGTGCATAGAAAGAGTGAAAGACCTGAGGGCTTCTAGGTCGCCCCGTGAGGCTCTTACCTTACCACTCCTTCCCTTGGCGCTCAAGTTTTTCTCTGGTTTGAGGGAGCTCTGGTGGCATAGTGCCAAAGGCATTCCACTGGTAACCAGAAGCCTGGCGGTTCAAACCCACCACCCATTCCGGGGAAGGAAGACGGGGCAATCTACTTTGGTAAAGATTTACGGCCTGGGAAAACCAAAGACAGTGAAGTTTTTTGCTTTTTTTTTTTTTTTTAAATACTACCAATTACTTCCTCTAATGTCCCCAAAAGTCTATTATAAAGAAGAAATGTTTGGTAAGAGCAGGCATTCCTCAAAAGCAGGAAGTTTTCTTTCTTTTCACTCTTTTAATATACTCTACATTAAAATGCATCAGCTAAACAACTATGACAAAACCACTATAAAAAGCTTGTTTAATAAATGAAATGTTTTGGCTTGGTCAATTGAGTTTATCTTTTGGAGAACTCTCATGTAAACTGCGTTGGTACCACAATCACAATTTTATCAGAAATGGGTAAAAAGAATACTACAAACAGAAACGTACTCTCTCAAGAGATTACCATTTAATTTTGGGCATCACTGATCAAGAATTGCAATAATGAGAATCTATTAAATTTCTTAAAATATCAGCCTTAGGGCTCAGTAAGAAAGAAATGAGAACCCAGGGGTTGTCAACCCTCAATCTATGATGTGTGTCTTTTGTATATATATTTTTAATTGTGCAACTCTAATAGCCAAAAATGAGTCATTTCATTAGTTCAAACTATCAGCAATCTGCTCCCATTACTTATATTTGTGAGCTTAGTAATGTGTTCCTTCTCTATTTATGGACTTGCAAAGAAAAAACTGAATTTCCTTCTTTAAAGAGAAAGCAGGTAAACTATGTAAAAAACCAAATGGAATTCCTCTTTAATGCAAAAATACTCAAAGGAAAGCAACACAGAATACATTACTTGAATAATAACATCAAAACACAGCTTTATCAAAATTTCATTAAATTTTAGTAGTGTAAAATTTTTGTAATTCAATATAAAGGCATAAGGAACAGCAAATATAAAATGATATTCCATGTTTTGATGCAAATGCTGAAAATCTGGTAGGCTATGAGTAATAACCTTCTGTTCCACACAACCTCCAACATATCCTCAAGGATCAATCTTAATGAGAGAGGCCTACTAAGAAAAACAGATATATCATTGAGGCATTTGGGTGTTTTGTTTTGGTTTTCATGAAAAAATGCATCTGCTTCAAAGTTTCTTTGCAAATTAAAATCCAGATTCAGATTCAAAGAAGTCTCCTGCAATCTAGAATTCTACACAACGCTTCTCCACAAGGATCAGTTGTGTACTGTGTCAAAAAATTTCAGCAGACAAAAGATAAAGAAGAAATGGAAAATAAAAAGATGAAAGCCATTTTCAACAACTGGACTGGTTTTTCAGTGTTTGTTGTTAATAAAAAACAAAAATCAAACTCACCAAACTCACTGCCTCACAGTGACCCCTCCTTGGGTTTCCGAGGCAGTATATCTACAGAAGTAGATTGCCCAGTCTTCCTTCTGAGGAGTGGCTAGTGGGTTAACAGTCAAATGGCTTAGGCACTATGCCACCACCAGAGCTCCTTGTTCTTAATAAGGTATTCATTTAAATTAACAAGATCAGGCTCCACCTGTGATTATGTAAACATCACTAGTGTCTGTCAGTGACATCTTTACTCAAATAGCACATGATCATTACTTAAAATGGTTGCAAATATGCACTACTTCTAATTCCCAAAAACCTCTGTACACTTTTTCCAGAAAAAAGCAAAACCAAAAACAATGCCAGGAAGTCAATTCCAATTTATAGCAACCCTATAGAATGGAGGAGAGATGCCACATAGGGTTTCCAAGGCTATAATCTTCATGCTAACCAGAAGTCTGGTGGTTCAAACCAACCAGCCACTCCTCAAAAGGAAGGTTGGGCAATCTACTTCTGTAGCGATTGTTCCGTAGTGATACTGCCTTGGAAACCCAAAGAGAGGTCACTATGAGTCGGGTCCAACTCGATGGCATATAACAACAATTATATAAAGGTATAAGGTCAAAACCTATTCCAAATAGTTTACATGTATTATTTTAATCCCACAACTTTATGAGACCTCTGAGTTTGTTATCTTCCTCTTGTTGCAAATAAACTGAGGCACAGTGAAGATTCAGAACTGTCTTGAGGTCCCACAGCAAATAAGTGGTAGATCTGGGATCTAAACTTAGGCTGTCTACCTCCAGAGACTGTGATCTTAACTATATACTGATGTAGAGAGAACACAGACATGAGGTCATTAAGAAACAGGTTTTTGGAATCAGATGAGTTTGAATCTCTTCAGATACCCATTTTCATCTTTTCTTTGTTTACTTTTTAATGACCTTTTGCTTTCTTCATGATGTCTTCCCACAACTCCTCTGATTCTCAGTTATTGGTGTTCAAGGCATCAAATCTTTTTTTCAGATGATCTCTAAATTCAGGTGAGATATACTCAAGGTCCTGTTTTGGCTCTTGTAGACTTGTTTTAATTTTCTTCAGCTTAAATTTAAACTTGCATATAAGCAACTGATGGTCTGTTCCACAGCTGGCCCCTGGTCTTGTTCTGTCTGATGATATTGAGCTTCTCCATCATCTTTTCCCACAGATTCAGTTTAGTTGATTCCTGTGTATTCCCATCTGGTGAGGCCCATGTGTATAGCTGCCATTTATGTTGTTGAAAAAAAGTATCTGCAGTGAATAAGTCATTGGTCTTGTACAATTCTATCATTTAATCTCTTGTGTCATTTCTATTGCCAAGGCCATATTTTTCAACTACCAAATCTTTCTATTTTTTCCAGCTTTTGCATTCAAATCACAAGTAATTATCAATGCATCTTGACTGCATGTTTGATCAATTTCAGACTGCAGAAGTTAGTAAAATTTTTCAGTTTCTTAATCTTTGGCTTTAGTGTTTGGTGCATAAATTTGGATAATAGTCCTATTAACTGATCTTGTAGGTGTATGGATAGTTTCCTAAGAGTGACAGCACTGTACTTCAGGATAGATCTTGAAATGTTCCTTTTGACAATGAATGCAATGCCATTCTTCTCCAATTTCTCATTCCCAGGACAGTAGAACATATGATTGTCCAATTCAAAATGGCCAATACCAGTCCATTTCAGTTCACTGATGCCTAGAATATCGATCTTTATGCATTCCCTTTCATTTTTGATTACTTCCAATTTTCCTAGATTCATACTTCATGTTTTCAATATTCTGATTATTAATAGATGTTTGCAGCTTTTCTTCTCATTTTGAGAAAAGGCATTGTGGGTGGGGCATTTGCAAGTGTTACTCATCTTCTCTTTGTGGGAATAAAGATTTTTGCTTTATTAGGCCAGACTCCATATTGTTAGAATAAAACTCCATATTTTTAATTAAGATGTCAGTTCTTTAAAACCTGGCTTTAACCGTGTATTATAATTAACTTTTTCTCTCTCTAAGTTACAGTTAGGAGCTCTGATAGCATAGTGCCTTAGGCAATTGACTGCTAACCAGAAGCCTGGCAGTTCAAACCCACCAGCCACTCCTCGGAAGGAAGGTTGGGCAATCTACTTCTGTAGTGATACTGCCTCAGAAACCCAAGGACGGGTCGCTATGAGTCGGGTCCTACTCGATGGCACATAACAACAACAACAAGTTACAGTTATCAGTTCCTGCTGCATTCTGTGATCTAAGACAGAGCTATCTATGTCAATAAAGGCTTCTGGGCTGGACTTTAGGATTGGCCACCTGGCTCAGACAAACACCAGTGAAGCCTCTTAAGGATTACCTGAGTGCCAGGAACTCACAGGAAACATTCTTTTCTTAATAACCCATTGCCCTATCTAACTTTTGGATTGTTAACTAATTATTAACTAACCCTGCATAGGTGCTGTGTCTCTTTTTCTTTTAGTATAAGAACCCAATTGTAAGCGATGACTAGAGCATTCTTTGAGTCACTGAGACCCAGCCCATCTCTCAAGGTGCACCTCCCAATTAAAGTATTTTCTTCTCCGTGAACTCTGATACAGAATATTGGCTGCTCTGCTCCAGGGCTGGACTCTGGCATTTTCTGAGTTATAGCTTGGTGCATGCAGTCTGCTTTTCTTTGTTCTGCTTTGTTTAAGAACAATAGCCTCAAGTGTATTAGTCCCATCTATCCCAGGGAGAAGGAAAAAAATTTCTATACATTGGTGTCTGGATGTCTTAGTTTCCAAGCACTGCCATAACAAGCAATACCACATGTGGATGGCATTAAAGAAGAGAAGTTTATTGTCTCACAGGCATCTGAATTCAGGGTGTGGCTCTAGGAAAAAGTACTTTTTTTTTTGTCCCTTTCAGCTTCTAGGTGTTCCTAGGCTTGTTGATGCATCTGCCTCTGTCATAGAATGGTATCTTCTTTTGTGTGT